AGGGCTCAGGATACTAAGACTCATGTGCCTGGAGTAAAACTTCCACCTTACAAGTGGAGGATAGGTGGGGAAGGGAGCTCCAGTGCTCTTGGCTGCGCCTGCCTGGAATACAGCTTCTGCAACATGAAGCTGAGAGGATAAGTGATATCAGTGGTCTACTTCCCCTGTGGTGAAACTATAGCACCAGACTAGGGAGTGGGAGAATGGACAGAGGGAGGCCAATCTTCCTAGTTGTACCCACTTGAATTAAAGCTTTTGTCACATTGAGCTAACAGTGATGGGTTTGAAAGCTGGTCCCGTCTCAAATGCTATAGGCTCTCATTCTTACCTATAATAGCAGTAGATTTTAGTAGATATTTTTGAATAAATGCTTCATTTGCTGTATGTCTTTAGGATTACTTCTAATCTGTTTTTTTAAAAAATTATTTTCACCAGTTAAATGCTGATTTTGCTGGGGAAGTGTCCACTGAGCTTCTTATAGCACCAATCCAGAATTATTTCTTCATTTATAAACTTCATTATTAATGTTGTTCTAAGGGGATATAAGTTTTTTTAAACTACCTTCCTCCCTTCTCACCTATCAAATAATTGATATGCTTTTATCTGTTACGTTGCTCTTGGTTCAAACTAATGAAAGTTTACTCAAACTGACTTAGTTAATTAACAAATTTAATATTTCATGTATTAAAGCATGGGCTTCAAACTTGGCCGAATCACTGGTCCAACAGTGTCTTCAAGACCTCATGTTCATGTCTGTCCTAAGTTCTACAATCCAAAAATAAGACTTCATACTAAGTCTCATAAGACAGCTACTTGTAACTATCTCTGTTATATACTTTCTTGTTTATGTCCAAAGGGAGAGAAAATGGTTTCTTCATTTCATGTCTTAAAAGGAAAGACAAACCTTCTCATCTCATTGACCCAAACTGGACCACATGCCTATTTGTGAACCAATTATTGGCAAAGGGGATAGATTACCCAGGAGCAGAGGATGGGGTCTGCTACCAAGAGCCACCTGGTCTGTGTTGGAAGAGTTGAATACTCAGGGTTATGTTGAGAAGAAAGAAGGAGGTTATGCATACTAATTAGCAACCAACAGTGAACACTATGAATTTTTTTTTTAATCAACTTTCAACAGTATACCTTGACTTCCATTAAAAACATAGATATTAATGTTTCTACCCTTTTCTGTACATATCTTATCCCACATCAACTTCTCAACAGCTAACAGTGTAAAGTAATTTAAACAAGAAATTAGTTTGTTATAGTTCAGTTTTAAAGTCATTAATTTTCTAAAGCACACTGAATGGAGTAAATGTGGGAGTAACTTCATTATATTTCTATTCATTGAGCTACTATAATAGAACCGTTACAACTAATCCCTTATTCCACACATATCTTTAGAAAATGACAGCTTTCCCACTTTAATCTTTAAAAAGGCCCCATGACAATAACAGTCCCTGGTTTATACACAATTTGAATGGTGACAACTGAGGTAGCTGACATAACTAATTAATTCATTTAATAAATAACTCCCAGGTAAGCTGACTGGTAACAGAAAAGCCTAAGACTGGGAAACTAAGTTTCCTAAAATATCAAAAAAAGCAAAAACTAAATGAGGGGAAGAAAATCTCATTTACAATAGCAAGAACAAAAATATATAGGTACAAAACTAATAAATGTGCAGAGTCTTTAGGAAGGAAATTTTGGAACTTTATTGAGAGGTGGTATACCATGACAACAATGACTCAATATTATAAAAATGTCAATTAAAATGTCAATTATCCCCAAATTAAGTTTAATTCACTCATGAGTAATTAAAACATAAATGCTAGAATAATTATAAAAGTGGAGTAAAAGTATAGGACAAGATAAAGATGAAAAGAATAGCTGCTAAAGAGCGTTTTAGAAATTACTGTAATTGCTTTTTAAAGAAATACAATTCAGTCATCATAGTAACAGTAGACTGTTCAATGAATGCTGCCAGGACACATGCCTAAAGAATCAAAAAAATGTACTTTATTATTTACCAAACCATGCACCAGAATAAATGGACAGGAGTTATATGTGGGGACATGAGGACAAACTGAAACCTTAAACAAATATAGGGAAAGAGAATGTTTAATTAATTCTGTAGTGGGAAAGGCCTAAAACTAACTTTGAAATTATAAATAATAAAGGCAAGATCACTACCTGGCAAAGGTCACTTCTACATACAAATGTAGAAGTCCTGCATATTCAAAAAATACCATAAACAAAATTAAAGTACAAATGACAAAAAAGGAAAATTTATTACCATATATGACAAAAGCTGACACCAAATATAAAAAATCTGGTCACAAATTTAAAAAGGAAAATTAGGATAGTCAGGACTCTAGAGACAACAAGCCCTCACACACTTCTGCTTACAATAATTTCAGTATAATTTTGCAATGTATATGTACCCTTAAAATATGTAGGCTTTAACTACCATTTCTACTTCTGGAAATTCATCTCAAGGAAGTACTCTGTAATGCGTTCAAATATTTATCCACGTATATCAGTAGATAAATATAAATAAATAAACTCAATTTCCCAAAAGAGTAGGCTGGCTAAGCAGGGCCATAATATAATCACAAGAACTTTAAGTTAAACAAACACAACAGCTTAAAGACCATATGTACAATATAATCTGATTCTTATATATTCTGGAAGGACATTAGTTTTAAATGATAGAAATACAGCTAATTTTGAGCTTACATTTTATTTATATTTTCTGATTTTCCTATAATGAAACTGTATTATCTATATAATTTTAAGTTATTTTTATAAGAAAACTAAACCACATTCTTTGGTTACTAACAATGTTACTTTCCCTAATTTATACTACGATATTACCTCAGCTTTTACCAAAAAATACCATAAGATAAAACACCAGAAAACCTGGCAGTGCATTTGCTCTGATGATGTTTTTGAGGACATTGCCTAGTCTCTCTCCCAATATGCCCTAGAGGAGAAATAACATAAAAAATTTGTTTAAAGACAATTGCCAGAAAAACCTTTGCTTATCCTGAAGAATTGGCATGCTTTTTTTTTTTTTTTTCATGGATCCCGAGAATCCTTTGTGTATTGACTTTTATTTTCCTTTAGGCAATCAGAAAAAGCAAATTTAAAAGCAATTACTTCATCTAATTGTAGTATTAGGTTGGTGCAAAAGTAATTGTGGTTTTTGCCATTAAAAATAAAATACTATGTAGGATCATATGCTTATGTATCTGTCTACCTACCCTCACCTGATCTTTATAATCTATGTCAATTCATAATTCCCTTGTCCTGCTACTTCATTAAATGTATTTTAAAAATCACCTCAAATCCTTTTGAGGTAGAGTATAAACAAGTAAGTAGAATATTCCTACTATCAGCCTGTAAATGACAGCACACAACCAAATATAGTCTACATTGGAAAAGACCATAAGTATTCCCAATGTGATTTATTTTAGAATAACTGATTTTAAAAATAAAGGAAGATATGAAATTTTTGTTTTAATAAATGAACCAAGAAAAACTTGAGTCATTACTGTTTTAGGACCTGAAGAAAATAAATTTTATAACCCTTACCAGTGTTAAGTGAGATCATGGAAGGCAGGGACAACATCTGCCTAAACACTGTATATTGCCTAGACGCTTCCTATCAAAACAAGTTTTCAGTAAATGTTTGCTTGTAAAGCTGGCCAGAGATAACATTGACCAAATGGTGTCACTGGTGCTCCTCTTTTTTGTCACCCCAAAAGACACAGCAAGAGATGTGGTATTAGAAAATAATTCTTTTCTCCCACATCTCAACATTCCAGCCAGAGGCCAGAGAAGAACTTCCAGTAAGGTTTGACCCTCTCATGGAAGTGCATCCTTTCCTTTCTGTACCCTTTATGGTCTTCTCTATGAAAGGAGTAAATGAACTGTCTGGTGAGACTGATGACAGCCTGGTGTCCTGACCACATTTCTCGACTGGGGTAGAGTTGCTGTGCTTGGCAAGTCCTTTTGGCTCTAGATCTGCCTAAGCTCAGTGCGGTAATTTTGTGCTGCAGTCTACATGCACTAGGTAGAACAGAGAGGCACAGCTTTAGTTTCTCTTCTTTGTTTGATTACTGAGCCTATAAAGGTTTGCAAGCCTTCATGCAGCTGGTTGTGTAGGACAGTCAAAGCTTACTTTAATAATCTGATTCTCCCATGCAGGTGGGTCCTTGGATTTCCTTGAGGGAAGAAAGATGCACCATGTATTTATTCTCTTCAGTTTTACTATTAATGTAGTGCATACTCAGATCCTCATTTAGCTCCTTTACAGCTGAGAGGAGAATGTGAAGACAGAAAATTTCCCACCTAACATTTAGCACACAGTAGTGTATTCTATCATTCTACCCTTAGTCATTCTCTATGTTCCACATTCATTATCTCTTCATTAATGTTTTAAATATTGTATTACATCTTTACATGAAAATTAGGTCAACAAATCATTGCTCCAATTTGACTTTTTTCCTGTCCAAAGAGGAAGGACCTTAACCTTAAGAACATTAAGAAGGATGAGAAAATCTTGAGTTTGGGAGAAAGATGTAATAATTGTACTTAGACAGATATTTATGGATTTATTCTCTGTGACTCCAAAGGAAATAACAAGAGCCAAAGAATAAGGGGTAGTGGAAGGCAGATACGAGGAATAAATAATCAACAGCACTGCTTCAAATGGAACTTCCTTAACACTAGAAATGTCCAAGGTCGAACAACTAGTTACAGTGTTTTAGAAAGGACCTGAGTGCAGAGTAGGGAATTCGAGATGAGGCTCTATTCTCATCTATGATTCTAACAGTTTTATAAGTTGGGTAAGTACTGTTTTATAAACTGGAGAATAACAAATTATGGTATATGTGATTTATCAGTAACTTTTTAATAATTTATAAAGTACCTTTAGAACTATAACCAAGACGTAGAATAATCAGACAATCATGTTAATGAAAGAGAATTGTTACCTGTCTGGAAAAAGACTCTAGAAATAATTGTCCGACATAATGGGCATGGAGTGCTGGAAGGATTGTCTTTGGCCAGAGTCCGTAAGCAGGGCTCACAGAAGATGTGATGGCAAGGGTAACACATATAAGGGTTGAAATAAATGTCCAGACACACTGCACAGATGTAGCTATCTTTTTCTTCTGCATATTCATTGTCTTCATCTGTACTCATCTCATTATTCAAAGTCTGCAAAACACAAGAAAACTTTTTTTTCTTAGTGTGAGATTGGTTTCCTTAAGATAGCTTTTGTATTTTGTTAAAATGAACGAAAATATTTGAGAAGCATATAATCTATTTGTGGCATATTCAAAGTAACAGAAATGCTACCTTTCAAAGTCAAGAAACTAAAAATATACATGAAAACCCAGAAGCCTACTTTTCTTTTTAGTATTGTGACATAGTGCTAAGTGTTAAAATATACCTAAACCTAATATACCTAAACCTATTAAGTATACCTGTATTTTGGCTTAATCAACAGTAGATAGGTGTTAGGTATACCAGTCCCAGAATTATGTAGATTCTCTATCTACCCCATTCCTACCACAGCAAAAAAGCTGGTTGTCACAAGGTTATAGAGTTTTAATATGAGCATCCATGCATGATGAAAAGTTAAGGCAGAAGGCGTCATACTTCATTCTCATACTGCGCAAGGAACATTCTCTATTCTATATTTTGTGTCTTCCTGGACCTCAGAGAAAGAGTCAAAGTCTAAGTGGTGTCAGGAGGAAAGCAAAGCAAATCTCAGAGTAATTATGGGATTAGCCTTGCTACGGGAAAACATGATGAGCCTGTCTCCCCTCCCAAATGGAATTGTTAGGAAAAAGGTACAGCAGGTTCTTAATAATGTCATTTCATTCAACATTGTCTTATTATAACGATGATGAGAAAAAATTGATTTCGAGCTGGGGTTGCTGTCTGTGTGGAGTTTCTGTCTGTGTGGAGTTTGCATGTTGTCCCTGTGTTTGTGTGTGTTTTCTCTGGGTAATCCAGTTTCCTCTTATATCCCAAAGATGTGCATGTTAGGTACACTGGTGTGTCTAAATGGTCCCAGTTGGGGTGAGTGCTGGTGTGTGTGAGTGTGCCCTGTGAAGGGATAGTGTCCCATCCAGGCCTGGTTTCTGCCTTGTACCCTGAACTGCCAGGACAGGCTCCAGTAATTATCTTGTTTTTATTCATCTTTCGTTAATACATGTATAGCTCACATTTATTTCAGTATTTAATATTAGAGGTGTTTTGGTCTTTAGAAGTTTGGTGATGCTTTTGTGATCAGAAATAGACTGTAAAAATTGAACTCTTTACTCATATCAATTAGCCTATGGTAAAATTGGTGGTGTTATTTCACTTAAAGTCACTGATAGTATGTTGGTGCAAAAGTAATTGCGGTTTTTGCTACTAAACTGCAACTACCTTTGCATCCACCTAAAACATCACCAGTAGGTTCTTCGAAATGGTGGCTTTAAGCAACATAAATGAGGATTTACTGTAGTTAGGAAAGAGGTAGCTCAGAGGTTAGTATTAATAGTAGAAGGTCTGTTAGCAGAATTCCTATAACTCACAATTTCCTTATTTGTGAAACTGCTGTGAGGATTAAATGAGGTAATCCACTTAATACATTTAGTATGATACCTGGCACATAGTAATTAATTATCAAAAAATGTTAGCCATGGCCATACTTCTCTACCCTCCCCCATCCCTTCTGTTCTTTCTCTACAGGTTCTGTAGTTTTTGCTAAAGCCTTGAGAACATTTTTCTCAAACCAGGCATTTAAAACAGTGCTTATAATATAAAACATACTATGAGTGTTCACTGTTATTATTATATTCTATTTGTATTATTATTATTTTGACACCGAGTCCTGCTCTGTCGCCCAGGCTGGAGTGCAGTGGCATGATCTCTGCACACTGAGCCTCTGCTTCCTGGGTTCAAGTGATTCTCCTGCCTCAGCTTCCCAAGTAGTTGAGATTACAGGCATGTGGCATGGTGCCTGGCTATTCTTTGTATTTTTAGTAGAGACAGGGTTTCACCATGTTGGAGCAGGTTGGTCTTGAATCCTGGGCTCATGAGCCAGCTGTTTTGCTCCCAAAGGCTGGATTCAGGTGTGATGCCACCCAGCCAGCATATATTCCTATTTGTATTCGGGAGATTAATCTTAACTGTTAATGAAAGTAGTCGTATCTGTGAAATCTCCGCCTTCTAAAACAAGACATTATATTTCTCATTCCAAATCACATAAGAGGGCTGCTCTCTGAGTCTACTTGCGGGGAACATTGTCTTATATGTATCGAGGCATTTTTAACGTATATTTTACTCTCTGTTTATTTCATCTTTGGCTTATTTAATAAGCTTTTTCAATTCCTGTATTGTCTCTTTATTTTGTTAGTTTACTTAGTTTTCATAGGTTTTGGGGACAGGTGGGTTTGGTTGTCTAGCGTGTTGGAGTTGTGTTCGTGCTGATTTTGTGAGATTTGGGTGCCCATCACCTGAGCAGGACCACACTGAATCCAATTTGCGATCCCTCACTCCCCTTCCCTGTTCCCCTGGGGGTCCCAAATTCCCATTGTTGTCTATTCTTACCCGCGTAGTGTCCATCCTCAGTAAGTTAGATCCC